CCGATAATATTTACTCTTTTATATTTTGATAATATAATTTACTTTGTCTTGAGGGAAAAAAAAAAAATCACTTATTTATTTAATATTATGAAAAATAATATTAAAACCTTCTAACTAATATTACAATAAAAATTGTCCCAGAAATTACAACGTCAGCAAAACATTGCGATCACTGGCACATACGGGTGTGTGCGTGTATATGTGTATATATCGTCTCGGGTACCATCTGAGATTGTACATGTTACATTATTGTTCTCCGTTAAAATCATGATCATCACTTTTAAATACGTTGTTTTAAATTTCTGTTCTAACGGTCAAGGAATCGTATTATAATATTTTATAACCGTGTCAAATTCAAATAATAATATGAAGTGCGAGTCGGGGATTGGTGTCCAAGGATTGTCAGAAAATAAGACTCGGACATGTCCATGATTCATTTCTGACAACGCAATAACAGAAAAAGGCATTGCCTTACAATCGAACGTTTATAATTACGGGATAGCAGTGGTTTGAAATTATAAAACCTGCAACGGCAGTTGTCTGCCTCCAAGGAAATATGTGTTTTTTTTTTTTTTGCTAGATGTATTCCTAGTAATCACACCGTGAGAAATGTGAATTACAATTTATATTTATATTTTTAAAGACGCTACCTAACAGAAGTAAATAATTTATATATTCGCGCATAATATAATTATATGTATGATTCCCCCAAAAAAAAAAAAAAAAAAACAAAAAATTATACTTTTACAAAAGAAAAATAGAAATTTATTTTTCCTTTTCCTTATACTGCCTCTTGGAATTCCCATCAAGAGACAGAGGAAAACAGAGGAATTAAAGTTTAGACATATCCTCTGTATTATAAAATTCCAAAAAGGATTTCTTTAAAGTTTCCCACGTTAAAGTTATATTTTCAACCTCGATAAATTGAAATAATTTTTTGGCTTGGTCTCTTAAATATAATGGAAACATAATTGTCTTTTTTTTTTGTCATCCCAGTTGTTTGCGGCAGAAATTTTCTCAAAAGTATAAAAGTAATCTACAACATCTTCAGTTATATGCCCCGAAAATAATTGGGGTTCGCATATGTTATGACCAGCCATAATGATTAATTTTCTTGTATTAAAAAATAATTACAATCGATTTTTATATTTGAATTTAGAATTTAAATGCAATTTGATACTTAATAAAAAAAAAATGTACTTTACTACAACCTGAGAGTTAAATCAAAAAATAGCAGGTACAATTATATGGGGTCGTGTCCGTCGTCTATTCCCTTAAAAATGTTAGGGTCCCTCCCTGAGGTAAGACTAACGAAAATCGGCGCCTCCACCAAATTGTAACGTGTCTGCTTGGCTAGTTGGCTAGGCTAGGCTGAAACGACAGTCGATAGGGTTAAATTAGTGGACCCGAAGACGGGACGGATGGCTAGGCCGTATCTACACTTAAATATCCCTAAAGTCTCCTTTGTATATTTGCTATATCGCCTGAGGAGCTTAACAGGCGATCGTACCTCTAAATAACTTAACTCTCAAGTGTGCAACGAAACGAAAACAGGTTTATTAAATAAGTAAAGCTATGTACATATATATTACACCTCTACCTGGATCCTAAAGCGTTCTCTGTAGTTAGTCCAGGTAATGGCGGAGTTGAACGGACACACGAGTACGGGTAAAGTTAAAGAAATATAAAATAGTAATGTAACGTGAAATATAGGTAATGGCTTTAGAATAATTAAGTCGCGGTCCGAAGATGGTAGTATGTCAACTGACTGGGCATCGGTGCCCCTGGCATTGTCCCGTGTGTCTGTTGTCTCCCCTACCTATAATGGCTTACATGCTAATCGGGGTAAACTGCTAATAATGCATATTTGGAGGCGAGTGGTAACGGGCGGCTAAATGTGACCGTTACAGTATCACGATAGCAGCGCCATGAAGATCTCTATTGTTACCTCTTCTGGAGGTAGGTTTACTGAGAACTATCCTGTGTGGATTTGCATCCCAACCTGTTAGTCTCCCACGGTTAGTGTATGGTTCCTGCACGAGAGCAATGTCTGCTTTGGCGGCCTGACAATAGGGAAGGAGTTGCTCATTGACAGTGGTGGCGCCCCTCATGTTGTGCTGGATTATAACTAATTTATTGGACGGCATTAATGGGTGGAGGAATAGATGGTCCTCTGCAGCATGTTAGCTAATACCGCCGTTCTTGTGGAGCACGTCTTGTCGAGTGCCGAGTGCTTGCCCTTGCAATTGGTGCACTTAGGGGGAGAGTCCTTTTTCGAGCAATCCTGTGTTTTGTGGCCCTTCTGTGAGCAATGGGCGCAGACTTGCTCTGACCTGCATACCTTAGCTGTGTGCGCGAAGCCCAGACAGTTAAAACATTGTGTAACTTCCTCAAAACGGCCTGTGCGGCAGTGCATGTAACCAATATAGATAGGCCCCTTGGTAATTTCCTCGTAATAGTCTGGGGGTACCTCAAGCACCCAGTGAACAGTTGGGAGATCACGAGGTCCTCTCTTGAAAATTTGCTTAATAAAGTCCCCAGCTCTATCTACTAGGATTTGCGCATCCGGGTTTTGTTTGGCAATTGCAGTAGCGATGTCCTCATTGAGGTCTGTTTGCACTCCGTATACAATGGCCCTTGGCCATCTGGGTTTCTGCTCTGTAAGCAATTTTAGGTCCGGAGTCTTGGCAATCTCTTTGAGCACGTTAGATGTACTCTCATCTCCAGCTCTTATAGTTAATTTACCATTCTTAGAAGTGGTCAATTTAAGTTTCGGCGCCGTTGATCTCCTACATAACTCTGCCCACAGGTTGTTTTTAGCCTCGTCTGAGGTCATGAGCTCGCTGTTGACAGAAAATGTTGGTGGAGGCGTGAGTGCTCTATTCGTGTCAAGTTTCTTCTTCCTTGACACGGATCTGGCCATTTTCCTCGTAGTGCTTTTTGCCTTTTTGGAGGAACTCCTATTTCTCTTTGAGCGGTTTCTTGATCTTCGGTTGGGAACTTGATGGTTGATCACTTCAGTATCCATCGCTTGATCTGCTCTATCGTTGGCTAGTTGGTCCTGCAGTTGCTCAAGCTCAGTTTTCAGAGCAACTAGATCTCCTTCAGCACGCTCAGTTCGAACGACCTGTGCCTCTAGCTGCTGCTTACATGAATCGAGCTCTTCTTGCTTGACCGCAAACAGGTCAATCATTTGTTGGTTGCTAACCGACATAAAGGACCTCAAGTCTTCAAGGGCACTAGTTTTTGCTTGTTCGCTCCTGGCATTCAGTCTGGCGGCTCTGACCAGGATGTCTTGGCACTTTGTACTAAACTCCTTAGTCATCGATTCGGAGAGCCTTTTTGTGGAGTGAAGATGGGCCGTGGTATCTTTAATCCACTGTACCAAGGCGACTAGTTGTTGATGATTATTCAAGTGCACGGTAGCTGATTTGGCCATTTTAGCATTTGGTTCACTCGAGGTGGGGGAAGGATGGTCTTCAGTTCCGGTGAGGGAGGCTGTGGACCGTTTCCTGCCGTCGGTGGAGGTCATTGCGGCCGTTTCTGTGGAGAACGCGCTTATGTTTGAGGGCGTGACCTTAAAGGAACAACCAGTAAATGTTCAATTGTTTATCTTGTTAACCAGTCGCATTTATAATAACGCCCAGTTATCAGCACTGATCTACAGCGGCCGTGCTCCGGGGTTTGAACCCCTTGGCCCCTATTTATTCAGAATTAACTTACTTAATCGACATTTTTCGAAAAATATTAATTTAGAGCTGGAACTGTAGTGGTTACTTAAATGTTCAATTGGTCAAATATTGCTACTCTTGGGCCTAGATAATGTACTTATGTTGCCTATGATTTTCCCTGAAACCTATACCATTGAGTATACTCAATACCTATACTAACCATGTAATAATTCTTGTGCTTCGATGCAGAGCTGAAAACGTATTGTATTTAAACGATGTTTTTATTTTTGTGTCTAAACCCACAATATCTTTTAAACATTTGAATAGATTTCTTCTTGTAGCAACTCTATTTATCAGAAATTGTACCTCAAAGGTAAATTTTTACAAAATTGAAAATGTTCATCCCTTCCCATTTAAAACCGAAAAAAACACAAGAAAAATTTAGAAATTGTTCAACTTAGAATTACGATGCTTTATAAATATTTTTAGAAATAGTCAAATTAGTTCCAAATTTGTATGGAATATTCTTTAAACATAGCACTACCGAGAAACATTGACAAACCAAAAAATATCATAAAATCTTTCCCCTAGAATGGATAGATATTTTTTCTTTATTTCACTTTTTCAAACAGTATTAAAGATTTAGGTCTGAAAATTAGACCGAAGGTTGATCTAGAATGGAACTATAAATATACGATTTTCTCAAAAATCTTTAGTCAAACTTTGTTTTTATTAAGGAAAATCCCCCCCCCTCCAAAAAAAGACAATTACACTGACCGTAGTGAATTTCCATATTGTATACGTGATTGAATCAACAGTCAACAGGTAATGAAAATATTTTCATTGTATTGTTAATTACGATAAATGGGTAACTATGGCAATGCATTTTTATATACTGACGATCAACCCTAATCGTGTCCACCTTAATAATAAAAAAAATGTAATTTTAAGCTATAATAATTTTATTATAATTGCAATTATAATATATTATTATTATAGTAATTATAATCATCAATCAGCGGTTAACGCTAAAGATGGCAACGTAGTTGCTGAAATACATATTTATGTTTAAGTATATATTTTTACTGTGGATAGGGTTTTCTCACAATAATTTAGTAAAATACTAATGCAGTCTCAACTTAGGTATGTACCCGAATGCCTGATTTATATTGTCAGTTTTTACTAAGTAGCTACATTTGTTGTCCCTAATATTTACGAAAATAGTGTAATTGGTTAAAATTTGTAACTAAGAAAATTAGGCCATAACAGGAAAACGTATTGTACTTTCTAAGCTTGTAATTTTACATAAATACATTATTACATAAAAAAAGTTTTTTACTTTTTTCACTTGATTACTTAAAATTAAAGTATAATGCTTTCCAATAGTACAAAATAATTAAGCTACTTAATTATTTTTGTTTTATATCTATAATTTATGACACAAGTTTAAGATTTTATATAACAGAGTAATAAATAAATTAACTAATAATTAAATTAATTGTTTTTAAATATTGGGTACCATACCATTTAATGTCTCTACCATTCCTTTGCGATCTTCTTATACATTTCACATTTCTTCCCACCAACAAAACTGTAATCATGATTTCTTGATCAATTTTATGTTAATGCAATGTAATCCATTAGAAAACATGGATTTTATTATTTCTTTAATCAGGTTAAAAAGTTTAAAATTATTATATTTTGTGTTTAGTACTGTGTGTTGTCACTTAAACTGTTGTTTTTATTTTTATTATACATTGTATGCTAACTGTACTCTATGCCCATTCAGGCATTAATTAAATAAATAACTAAGTATAAAAGTTTTTCAGCCGATTCTGCAACCACGAAAGAGCATTTTCATGTCTCTTTGAATTACCGAATAAATTTCGACCCCTATCTCCTACCCCATATCTCATAACTCTTATTCCTATATCCTATCTCTTACCCCTATCCCCATTCCTACCCACCAACCACATTCCCATCCCCATCTCCGTGTCATGACACTTTTTTCGGTTATGTGCCAGAGCTAAGACATGAAAATGTCAATAAAAAGCCTTTAAGTTTAGTATTGTAGCAAAAAATAAATAATATCACCTTTTTTATTTAGACTCTTTGGAAAATGTAAGGGTTGCAAGTAATGTAGGACCATATCTTCCATACTGATCAATTGGAAAGATAATTCTATCTTTAACAAATGTAAAGACGACACGCCTACAAATATTTTTGATAGATGTAATAGTAAATAATATGTTTTAAAATAAATTATATATTAATATGTTACCTGTGCAATAAAATATCACTAAATAACTCGTGAAAATCAGTAAAGTCTTCATTGGAAACTACAGCAGCACCAACTTGAGTGGCATATTCAAGAATCAACCTATAAAATGTATAACGTCATATTGTAGTTGATCAATAGATTAGAGATAAGAGAGATAAGTTTAAACAAATTAAGTACATGTAAATTTGCACCGTTTTACTAAAAAAATTATCAAAGAACAACAATGTTATTAACATTTTTAACATATTTACATTTCATGATTTTCTAACATTCAATTAAATAAATCATATAAATACTTTTTCTATACAGAAATTGCACTTACATATTTTACCCAATTAAAAAAAAATACATTTTATACATTATTATAATTACTCTCTGATACTATTTAAAAAGATACAATTTTATTGTATAAAAAAAAACTTATTTAGATTAGCATTACTTGGTTGTTTTTAATATTACTAGATGTGATAGATGTCGGGTTTTTTTTTATAAGCATAATTATTAGCAATTACAGTAGGAAAGTGTGGAGAGGGGGTGACTGGTGACCCATATAATGTACTTGTCTGGCCTCTCAAATACCCTTATTCTAACATTAATGCTAGTTAAGAAATAACTAGTAAGTCCAAGTTTCATACATTTTTAAAATTAATTAATTAAAGTGAACAAATGTAGTAAATAAATTGCATATAATTTTAGGATTTGTAGGTACTTCTACATTGATGGGATTAATTATCACCACCGTTTTTGTAATGTTTTGATGTGATATCTCTGATCGTTTTTTATGTATGTGGTACCAAAAGTTGCATTTTGTATTTCTCTACACAATCTTTTTTTTGGAAAAGTTTAAAAACCTGTATAAGATGTAATATAAACCTTTTTTAATGTTTGTTAATTATTATATTTGTGGATGCACGGTCTTATTATCTGTTATCTACTGCTGTGAATATTATTTGTAAGAGTATAATATGTCAGATAGTATGGCGACAAACTGTGCAGAGTGTAATATATCAATTAAACGAATTGAAAAATACCTTATCTGTAATAAATGTAAAAATAATGTCCATTATGTTAGCACTTTGCTGTCATCAGAAGAATTGGAGAAAATTGATCTGAAAAATTGGGTGTGTAATTTTTGTGTTTCATCTGGCAATGTAGTCAATAGTTCTAATATAATGGAATTACTTCATCAAATTCGTGATGGACAGAAATCTCTCTTAGATAGAGTATTTTTGTCTAAAGTTGAAATCTATATAATAAAATGTTAATTCAAATAGCCGACTGCCGCCAGTTGCCTAATCGTCTCTTCCATGGGATTCAGTTGTCTATTCGTCTTTTCCATGATCCGTGCCTGCGTCGGCGGCCGGAGAGCTGTTTTCGTGTCGAAACGTTATCATATAATATAATAATAAATATTAAACAATAAAAATTAAAAACGGCGAACGGCGTGTTTTGTTTTTTTTGGTGAATTTTTGTCTTTGTAGTTTGTTATATTATATACATACAATTATATATTAAACGTATAATAGTTATTATTAATTACATATTTGTCCGTAATTCGCTCACGGTTTTCGTTCAAGAGAAATCGACGTGTTTCCCGGTGTGCAAACATTACCTATTAATATGCGTCGTTGGATGTTGGTACGTTTTTTAGATTTAGAATATATATAATAATATATAGTATAGTAGTATATTACATTTTGCTTAAACCAAATTATCAAATTAATTAGATGTACAAAATTCTTATCTTTTTCAAACCGCTGTGTGTGGTGATAACGATACATTTCATATTTTTTGTTGAAAAATTTGTTGACGTATATATCTACTATTTATTTTCAGTTAAATAACTTACTGACTTATTTTATATATATGTAAATTATTTGTTTTAGGCCAATACTATAGTGAAATCATAACCAACGCGTGTCCGTTTAGAAGATTGATTGCTACTTCTACCTACTCTGTATTTAATTAATACAATAAGTAGTTATTATTGTTACCATTGGTTACAGACTGTTATCCTATGCCGTCACCGATTAATTTGCCTGCGGCCAACAGAAAACTTACACCGTAGAAGTTCATTTTTTGTTAATAGTATTGTGTTAAACATATTATTGTTGTGTTTTATTTTCTACTCAAATACTAACTTCCACCAAGATATACAGGCGTATATCGCAATACTCTTGAATTCTTAAACACTTATGAACTTCTGTTAAACCACCAGACCTTTAATATACATATTTAATGCATTATGCTGTTGGTTACATTCTAAACGTACAATACGTCATTACCGAATAATGGCATAGACGGTGATTTCTGAACAAATAAGGATTTTAATTCAACCAATATCTAGACATATAACATATACGTTTGAAAAAGTTTTGTTGCACATATGAACACCATATCAGACATATAGCCGACTGACCTCTAAACATTTCTTTCCATTTTTAACCATAGCTATTACCAAGCCCGTGGAGTAAACAACACCTCAAACAATCCGAGCGAGCGAATGCCAAAACACTCGGAGACCTGCCGTCCTTATCAGTTATCAATACGAATTCCGCCCGCTGAACTGGAACTGGACATTGGTAGTTCATACAAATTGATAAAAGTGGTAGCAACCCAAGTAAGCAACACCGGACATCTTGATATTTATTAACCGTCTAACTTCTAGACTATTTTTTTCAATTTAAAATTAAAAAAAATTACAGATACATAGCTAGACTTACTCTACACTTAACCAGTATTTAGCTTGCAAAATATTTGTCCATAACTAGGTATGAATTCTGATTACTAGATACAGCCTATAGGTACCATGAATTATAACGTGATTCCTTTAAGACGTATTGAGATGGCTCGACACCGTGGCCGGCGCAGCCGGGCACCCCCTTAGGAACCGCCGTGCCCTGACTTGCACACACCGTGGCCGGCGCAGCCGGGCACCCCCCTAGGAACCGCTGTGCACTGACTTCCACATACCGTGGTCGGCGCAGCCGGGCACCCCCCTCGAAATCTGTGACCTCCCCGAAAATACTTTGCAGCGAGGGGACGTGAGCGTGCCCTGCGTAGCCGGGTACAGTACCGGGCATCTGTGACCTACCCGCCCACCTCGGGGGCCTGGGGGCGGAGCCCCCAGCTAGAGCGAAGCTCTAGTAAAAAATAAAATAACAAAAAAATATGTGATTTGTCCAACCATCGTCTTTTATAAAAGATAATGCGATCCTAAAAGAGAAAGTTGTCTTTCTAGAAAATAAAATAACAAAGTTAGAACCCTGCAACATGGTAGTAAATAAGGCAACTGAAAATCATATAGTTGATGAACTACTTGACAGACAATATCATTCTAAAAATAGACTAATTTTTAATTTGACTGATGACGCTGATCATAATACCAATGATTTATCTACTACAAAAGATATACTATCTGCCATGGATTTGGATGATAATCCAGTTAAAGTTGTAAGGCTTGGTAGCAGATCTAAAAATGTTTTTTCGATGTTAAAAAATTTAAAAAAAAGCTGCAGGCTCACTCTACATTTCATTTAATTTGATTATCTTCTGATAAATCATCTAAACAACCGGATCATTTTAACGCGTTACGTAAGGAAATAGAAGAGAGAAAATCTAGTGGCGAGCATGATCTATTTATTCGGTATATAAAAGGTAATCAAACTACTGTAAAAAATTCAAAAAACATGTGAATAAGCCCAATTGTAACTATATATTGTCCGAAATAAAAATGTATTATCAAAATGTCTATGGTGTCAACACTAAACTAAATGTATTATATAGTTTTCTTCCTATATCTAATTTTGATATTTATGTTTTTACTGAAACATGGCTTAACGAAAATGTAAGTGATACTGAGTTAGGATTTATAAACTATTAAATTCTTAGGTTAGATAGAAATAAAAATACAAGCTCTTGTTCTAGAGGTGCCACCACATTAATAGTTGTAAATAATTCAATAAACTCTTCTTTATTTAATGTATCAATACTATCACTGAAGCCACTATTTGTTCTCTTGCGTTTTAAGAACCAATCGTTTATTGTTGGTTCAGTTTATATTCCGCCAAATATTGATAAGTCAAGCTATGAATCTTATATTAACTCTGTCGATGAAATCTACCGTAATTACCCAAGTTCTAATATTATGTTGCTTGTTGATCTTAATCTTTCTAACTGTTATACCTTAGTATGAAAGTAAAACACAATTAGATTAATGTAAATAATAATACTCGCTGATGTTTATTATGAAACCCAAATTATACGAATGACAAGTTGTGCCGGTGTAGCACTCGCGTATGGTGGACAATTTCCACCATATGTATTTATATAAACTGTTGATACGTAACACTAACATTTTATGATTTTTCTCAGTTCAATTTTAATAATTATAATAAGTTGTTGAACTTAGTTTTTTGTAACTCAGTCTATTTAAACGTTATGGATATCGATAGCATACTTCCTCTTGATCCTCTCCATCCAGCCCTTATTATTGCTTTCTTAACAAATAAGCCAACTATCTTAAATTTTAAAGAATCATATTTAGATTTAAAAAAAGAGAATTATAATGCAATTAATAATTATTTAAATTCCATTGATTAGTGTTCTGAATTATTTGGGTGTAATATAAAATAAGCCACAAACCATTTGTATGAAGCTATTAATAAACACGTCTCTCATCAATTGAGTAATTTTCGGATATATCCACGTCTAATTTAACTTTTAACCGCCACATCTCTATAATTGTTAATAAGGCTACAAGACAGTTAGGTTTTATAAGACGGCATTGCAATAATTTTAATAATATTATAACTTTAAAAACATTTTACTGTTCTCTCATTCGATCATGTCTCGAATACAACTCAGCTCTTTGTTCACCACATTAGCTTTATTTATTACAGGATTGAGAATCCATTCAAAATCGATTTTTCCATTTTGTTTCTCTTAATGGTAATATTTATAGAGCTCCACATTCATTGTAAACAAGTTTACTAAATTATGTAAAAAAAATAATTAAACACGTTAGAAATAAGACGTATACAATCAGATTTCATCTTTTTGTATAAACTGATAAATAATTGTATAGATTGTTCTGAATTATTAGCAATGATAAATTTTAAGATAAATAAACGTAACTTACGCAATACCAATTTATTCTACCCTAACTCAGGTACCACATTTTGAAGTCCGGCAAGTAATGCCCCACCAGGCAAGTACCCCCCCCGGAACGCAAAGGATGCAAGTGAGGATTAAAAAAAAAAAAAATGGTACCACATGTTTAGTGTCAAATTCACCGATGAATCGTATGTTACAATTAGCTAATAAATATAAGATAGATCTGTTTGTAAATAGTTTATATAAATTTAAAAGTACTTTTAAGTTAAATGTTTGGTATTAGTTATGTTAAGAGTAGTTATTTATTGTATCGAAAGAAATTTGTTTATTGTATAATAGTATAAAATTGTAACATAAAAAATAAAATAAAATAATTGATTAATACAAAATGCGTAACTGACCTGTGATAATGAATGTTATTACATTTATTTTCTCTTGTAGGCGTGTAATACACATGACCTTTATTTTCCAAGTTTTTAATTATTCTATAACATTCAGAGTCTTCGTCTACCAAGTAATTCTTTGGAATAAATGCCTTTATATGAGAATGCCCATGGGTCTTGAACCAGTCAATACATAGTTGAATTCCTTTGGCAGAAAAAGTTTCATTTATAGAATGTCTGAAACAAAAATTAAAAACCACATATCAGGCAGTATATTTAAGAAATTTTAATTCTATAAAATTTAAAATCTGAAACTTACGCATAGGCCACATTTTCAGCATCAATCACAATAGGTCGAAGCTTTCTATCTAATCCAATTAATCTATCACGCTCAAAAATATTTATGTTTTTACTAATATTGTATGGATATGTGTTTGAAGCACTAAACTTATTATTCTTTCTTTTCTTTTTACGTTTCTTCTGTTTTTTAAGCACTTTTCCATTATTTAAGCAAGGAAAATAAGATTGATTCAATTCTGCCACATTTTTTGTTTCAATTACATGTTGCACAACTGTTGAAGCCATAAAAGGTATGTCTGTAGTATAATCAATGTCATGTACAATTATTGGTAAATCAGCAGAGTTCAAATGGGGATTAACAGAAGAAAAATTATTAACATTTTTTGGGTATGTTTGATTCAAAATGTATTTGGATTGATGGTATGATACTTTATTTAGCTTCTTTTTTCTTTTTTGGCTCTTTGATTTTCCCATCTAGAAATATATATACAAATTAACGATGAGAAATAAAATTCAGAATTGTTAGTTACCTTTATTGTAATTGTTAATTCAGGAACCAAGAAAAATAAATAAAATAGCTTTTATTTAAAGTAAATTATCACTCATCGAGAAAATGGGATGCATAAATAATTATTTAATAATTTGTTTTAAAACTGAATGTATAGTGCAATATAGTTACATATTTTATGATGTAAACAGTAAAACACTAAACAATATAAAAGCATAGGTTACACTTGCAAGGCTAATAGTTAATACATACTATAATTAATTTTGTTTTTGAATTTATATCGTTGTAATTGTAAGAAATTGTTGACTTATGTCATATAAACAATATGGAGATGTCTATAAATGAAACACATCACATCATTCCATACTATAATTTTTACTTTAAAATATATCGTCATATTACCCCATATATTATGAGTAATGACCGGTGACCTTAACTTTTTAATATCACAACAATGCACAATCACAATATTCATAAATGTTATGAATGGAACGGTTAGGTTAGAATATAACAATTATTACAAAATAAACGCTTTGTAACAGCTATTTAGTGTTTACCTAATATTGTTTGGATTTGTAATTTGGCTACACTGTATTTAGTAACATTTTACCGCTATTTCAATACTTATATTCAATACTTTTATTGAAATAAATGCTTGATATTTTAAACTTCTTTGTTCGTCCGTCGTCGTATGTGTTATTAAATCCATGTCAGTCTGAAGAGTGGCTTCGCTGAATATTCAATATTTCAATGACGCTTAACTAAATAATGGCACCATATTATGCAGTTGTTTTCCGGCAAAGCCGAACGGGCACCGTGGCCACTAATTGGTAAACATTTTTTATTATGTTGTACCTACTTGGTAATTTTTAAGTACTTTCCATTTTTAAAAGATGTGAATTTGTCGTCAGTGATCTTTGTTTACAAATTCTTGCTAAATAATATTTATTAAGTATTACATACAGCCGTATGTACAGGTATAAATTACCTAGTTATATTTTTAGATTTGCCTTTAAAGGTGTAGCTTTTTTTAATGATGTTTTATTTTGAACACAGTATCTGAAGTTGCTGGATATTATACTTGCTTAGCATTAGATCAAAAATCAAATCTGTAGAATTTTGAGGGTCAAAAGTAGAAAATCGGAGACCATACATTTATTTTACTGGACACCTTTTTTTTTTGTCATCTATTAGTATTTTTGTACGCAGATTATGAATCTGAAATCGGCAGACTCCTCTAGTTCAAAAGTTATAGCTATTTGAACTTTGAACTTTTTGCTTATAGAAGTAGGCTGCAAGCACAGGTGACTGAGGTGTGCGATGGACATATTTCTGTGTGTATAACAATACACTTGTCAGCGATACGAGGATAGTAGGTAACCTAACTAACCTAAGTTTAGTCCTTAGGTAAGCTACTTTTTTCCTCTGGGAGTTAGAGAATTAGTTCCTATCCATCAAAGAGTCCGAATGGACTTGAGTCGGCTCATGACGCCGGCAGGCTTAGGGGGTTGTTTTAAATAGTTGAAGATTTAGTAACTTAAAGCTTTAAAACTTAAGAAAATTATTGTTGTTTTATGAGATGGCAAATAAAAAAATCACAGAAAAAAGGGTGTCCAGTAAATTTAATTTGTTCTATGGGTGACAATAACAATACATTTTTTATGGATAGGTAGATGATTAACCCTCATACTTATTTTTTGTTTTTTAAATTAAGGTTTTAGAAAAACTATTTACAATCTATACTATGAGTACAATTTAATGAGTATAGTTTTTATTTCATTTGGCCGTAGCCAGTAACAGTGGGAAGAAAAGCTTTAAAAATGTTCATTATCCTGCAGTAAAAAAAAAATAATCACTCCAGGCCCGCAAATTATTCTGTCAGCACTGATGAGCAGTGAGGAGAAGGAACACTGAAGAGCCACTTGTACATAAGTATTTAAGTTGAGTGAAGTAACATTTAGTAGATCTCTGGACCAAATGTGGTTAAGATGCCTGATTAGATTGCCCAGAAGTGTTGTTGAGTGAAGTGTGTGATAAGTCAGTTGGAATGACATTACATTTTGGAATAAAGTCAAATGTAAACCATGTATACGGTCTTTTTGACAGTTGGGACTTTTAGGTCTTAGTGTAGAGAGTTGTTAGTGACATACCATGAAGCTTAGGTGACTAAGCGTATGTATTGAAAAGACTCAATTTTCCTATTGTTTGAAAATTTATCGACCTCCCAGAGAACAATGTTGTAAGACCAGATTGGTTAAAGAAGAGTTTTGTACAAAAGTAAAGGTTAAAAATATTCTTGGAAGACTGGATGAGTGGTCTTATTAGATGTAGGCGAGTGTTGAGTTGTTTGCATTTACTTTTGAAGTGAGGTTCCCAAATGAATCTTCTGTCAAATAACAGGTCAAGATATTCATATAACCTTAATACTAAAAGAAAAAATGTTAAGCACATGATTGCCTATACAACAATGTTTATCTGTATTCATCATTAAATTTTCTATTATCTAAAGCTATGCATTGAAGTGTTTTTTTCATTGCTCTCAGTTATAACTTATAACAATTCCTACAGTCCTATGACTACACCATCCTCACTATTTTCTGTCTCCACTATGCCTGACCTTACTGTGCAACTTTTTTCTTATTTTAGTAAAATCAATAATATTTCTAATCTTAAAATCCTAAAATTTCAAATGTAATACTCATATTTGTAGAATAGTATTGAGTATATATTGACTTAAAATTGGGCTTAAATTATTTAACCTGTTCTCTTACATAAAAAAAATATATATATATATATATGTATATATATTCTTATATAATTATAGAACTGTATCAAAGTAGTATTAAGTAAATATATACTTCATTAAATTAACGAGGCTCCTATTTTTAATTTGTTTTAGCTTTAATATTATATTACATTTTCACTCTAGGCCTACAGCCCAAAAATGGCGCGATTCAAGTATCAATAGTTTCTGCAAAAAGTTTAGTACCCAAGAAGAAGCTGTCAAATACTTAGAAAATTTAGGTCATGCGGTTATGTACTTCAATGATGATCCACCGTATTCAAATTCTAATAAAAACAAAGATTTTAATGTGTTGAAGAACTACATAAACGAAGTAAAATAATTCATACTATTATTAATTATGATTGTCAATTAATAAATAATTAAATTTCTTTTAGATTGATGTTACTTTTAAGAAAATGTTTCAATTCACAGATCAACTTAAAAATCAATTAAGTTACACATCTAAGTTACAAGCATTAAACATATCTGTAATCGAACATTTAAATGGAATCGTTGGAGAGCTTGAAACATCCGAAACTACTAATAGCAGTACAAGTAACAATAAACGGTATGTACAAAAAAATTAAATTAAAGTAATCTAAGTTTGTTGATTCCAGTCTGTTATCAACTATCTGATAATTTGTTAGAAGATATAATTGATTTTATATTTTTTAACAATAGTTAAAGAGTTTCAGAAAGGTACGTGCTATGAACTTATTAAAGCTCTCATGGATTGACATATTATTTTGAATTTTTGTGGTTATGTCCATGACTATATAAATAAATAGGCATGATCAATAGATTACCATATTTTTCTACCTTTGCGCAATAGAATCCTTGTCCCAGTCATATTATAATGAGAAATTAGTACTATAATACTTTTTTTTCCCTGTCTAAAACAATCATATGTATAACCTTAGTGAAAATGTTTTTTAATTTTTTACTAATAAAAAAATGTAATTTATTCTTAACGGGCCCAATGCTGCTGTCATGATGAGATGATTTCTTGACGAAGAATTTGTTATCCTTAACGGGTTGTCAGGCCGTCGCCAGTGATGGGGATGGCAGCCCTTTTCCCCGGACGATTGCTCACCCAGCAAACGGAACGTCCGTGACCGAGAGTGAGCGCAAACCCACTGCCGCCTTACTGACTCGGTCACATCGATGACTCCGACTTATTTTTCCGGCAGCCAATAGGGAGCAGTATTTTGCATTAAGAATGAATTGCACCTAACCTAACATTTTGTATTATGTTTCTCTACAGTTTAAGTTGAAATATTTTCCTGTGTCGCTGGAATTCATTAGTTTTCCACTTGTGAAAGATTTTTTAGTGCTGAGGAGTCAAATAATAATGATCTTGCATTATAATTGAATTTTTTTGTACATATAACTTTTACTTTTAGAGGGAAAAATTAAAAGTTTAATAAGAACTTAAGCTAGAACTTTTATTTAAAAACAACTTTTTTAATTAAACTTGTATAAATAAAAGTTTTTTTCAAACAGCTAAAATTTAACTCATTTGTAAAAAAGAAGAACCCCATGCTTTTTAAGCTATATTTTATGATTTTATTAAATGTAAGCATGAACTTAACTATACTGTAGTTTAAAAAAATATTGCTAAGGTTAGTTCATACCAAATTATTGTATAGTACGAAACGACTAGCAAAGTGAGATCACGGCATACATAATTGTTGTAAAGACAATAATGTGCCTAAAACTATTTTGTTAGAATCAGGGTGGATGCAATTAGGGTTGTTTGTCTATCTATAATAATTTGTTGTTGTTGTTGTTACCTATGTATCGTAATAAATAAAATTAAAATATTTTTCTGATACCTGATGACTGTTGATTTGGTTCACTCAATACAGCAGCTCAACATTTAACACAGTCAAAGCGTAAAGAAGTAAAATAATTAAAGAACTCTTAACCACAAACAAAAATTGATTATATTTGTTGTTAGGGTTTTTTTTATATCTTTACTATAATATATAACCACAAGCGTAAATTATGTTTTTTCTAGATGGTCAAAGTGTACTTTTCCCCTATTCATAAACATGTGTTTATATCGTCATATTCAAGTCATAATTCTCCATTATGTTTAACGTCCATTATTGTCCACTGATCGGGGCTTAGAAGCTTTAGATTTGGCTTTTTTGGGTAAATAGCTGGCTGCCGACCTAACACTACCAAACAAGTTGGCCCCAGAGAGAGGGACAAGTGGCCATTTCTCCCCCCAAGATGGTTGCCCGCCGGGAGGAACAAACCGCCATAGGCCGAGATTCGACCGTGTATTGGTACACTGCCGCCTTATCTCATTTTGCCACGCGCCTGTACATATTCAAGCCATAATACAAATTATATACATATTTTATAACAATAAAAATATTTAATTTATGTGAAAAGAACAAATAAATATTTACGCCCTTAAAGGCAAGCAGTTCAGATTTCACATACAAAAATTAACAATAGTATCAAACGAAACCATGACTAAACTAAACAAATTTATAATGTAATAGATTATTATTATATTTTACGGTTTAAAAAAAAACTAGAGCAATTTTGAAAGTTTTAAAAAAATACTAGGTTTACAAAGCGTGTGGTTGATATTTTTAAGAATATTTCTTCATTAAACATGG